ACTAACAAAGAATTGTCTGTTTGTTATAGATAAGCTAAGTATTTAAATGTTTAATTATCAGTATTCTCATGTTATAAATCTTTATTAATATCTTACACATTAATAGCCATGGGTTTTTGTGTTAAATAACTTGTCTGACATAAAAAAAATAAATAAACCAGAAAGAGAAACCCTGTAGAATAATCAAAACGTCAAGATAATTGAATCAATATTAAATAATATTTGCCACAACTTATAAAAGAACAAACAGATAACCGTTTAGTCATAAATTCTCTATTCTATTTTATCCATATCTGGAATGTGATTTATATTTGTCTCAGAAGAGAAGACATAAGGATTGATTGAAGTATTGGACCATAAAGTTTTTCTGATGGTAAATTGGTTTCCAGAAACTGGCTTTATTTAATGCAGAAAAAATCACTAAAGAAATTATTTCAATAAGAACAAAAAGTTATATATAGTCCTCTAAATAAAATGTTATATGAATATAGCATGTGCTAAAATAAGCACAAATCCAAACATAACACAACTTAACACATACTATATCATATATACCTTAGGGCATTCAAAAATAATTTTTCATGTAAAATTTCTACAATCCATATAAAAGTATGAAAGATGACTTTAAATTCACTACAACTATTATAATACTGTAAGATAACTAGGAATCTTAATGTACAAACTCCAGAAATACATTTCTCAGTAAAATTTACATTTTCCTAGAGATTTTTTGGGTTTTGTTTCAAGGGTTTGTGTGTGTGTGTTCTAAAGAAATATCCTGGCCTTCTTATTTCTTCCTCATTATTCATTAACCTTTAGAATAAGACTGAAAAGCATTCAGAGGAGAAAAAAGTTTGTTATAATTATTAGGAACTAGAAATAAAATTTACCACCACCAGAACTGCCAATGAATTTATTGCCAATAAAATTACATTAATGGTACTCATATTTACCATAAGGTCCATAGATACTTAGAATTATATAGAAATAGAGAATATGAATGCATTTCAAGGAGAAAATGTATAGGCTTTCATAAGATTTATCTCATACCAAAAGAGTTTAAGATCTACTGACATGAATGATGAATAGTATGATAGAATTTCAGTAAACATATAAATGGTGTCATAAGAGTAAGGGTTATTTTTCCTTCTTAATGGCACCAAAGGCATAAGATACAGAAGGCAGGGAAATAGCCATCTAGATAATAAGAAGCATCAGATGAGAACTTTTCTTCCATGTTTTCAGAGAGAGTTAGGAAAATACTTCACATACGAAGACAAAATTCCCTTAACTACTGCCCAAACTGAGGATGTTGGAATCCCCAGAGCCATCATGACTTCTCACTGCAGAAGCAGTCTTTCATAGAACAGATAGATATACACAGTTTGAACAAGTTAAGTACTGGCCCTATGATTCCTCTAATTAACATGGAACACAGGCACAAACTTGGTCTGCAAATTAAGTTTTCCTTAAGTTTTTTCAGTCTCCAATCAAGCTGAAAGGGACCTCTGTGGCATTTTTTCCAAGATTCCCTTGTATAATTCCACAGTTCAACAGTGTGGTTAGGGTCTCAGTCTTTAAGATCAGCCTGGCCTGAGATGACTCTGCCATTTACTGTCTGTGACTGCCTGCGACTGTCTGCTACTTAGTGAGACAGATTTCCTTACCTCTTTCAACCCATTTCATCATCAATATAATGGAGATACTACAGTGCCTTCCTGCTACACATAGTTGTTGAGAGAAGTAAAATAAATGCCTGAGAACATACTATACAAAAATGATACAAAGTATGAGTGATAAGCCTCAAGCTTCATCTTCTTAAATATTTTTAAATCATTCATATTTAATATTATATTAATTTTAGTTACAAAATTTAAGTTATGTTAAATATTTACAAGGGTGCCTTGATAATGCATTACATATACAAATCTCTGTATATATATTTACAAAGCTCAAATTCAGCATATTTAGCACAGTAAAACTTAGCATAATAAAAGAATCACAACATTCCTGTCTTTAATTCAATCCTGATTGGGGAAAAAAAATTCTTACAACATGACACATAACCAAAAGCCAATTCCTAATCACCTGAAGAAACAGCAACAAGTTTAAATGCTAAAGAAACAAACAGTCGTATAGTATTCATTGATACATGTAATGCATACACAACACCACACATACTTCCCACACATAGTACACAAGAATAAAGGATTTTTCAAGGTAATTTTAATTCTACTTTCTGGCTTTAAAACTTAAACGTTTCCAGAAAATTATAGCTGCATGCCCATGTTTGAGTAGCAATATACCAAATTTTATTGGTTAAAAGAAACAATATTAACCCTTTTTTGCAAAAGTATTATTAAAGGAAAATTATATTAAAATATGTAAGTTTTATTATGAACTTAGAATCTCTTCTATATTTAAGAAAAATTAAATTAGTAATTAAATATTATAAATAACTGCCCTATTACTCATGGCATTTTTATTGCCACCCAACTTTTGGTGGAGAAGTAGAAACAGAGGCCAAACTGAACAAAATCAGGGATTGAACAGGAAGTAAAAGAGTATAAAAAATAAAGAAATTTGAGACCTTGTTTTCAAAACATTTGGCTGTAAAGGGAAGTTAGAGAGAGTAGGAGGTAATAATAGGAAAAAGCAAAGAAGAGCAAGAACATGTTTCAGGTGAACGAGTTCTGACAGTGTTAAAGTCAAAGGGGTCCAGTGGAGGAGAGGAGATGGTTGGCACATGCTCAGGTAAGAGTGGATAGCATGCACTTCCATATTTTTCTCCATTTTTTAGTCCCTTCCTTTTTATACCCCCCAAGAAATTATCATTATTCATAGACTTCTTATAAAATGGACTTAAAAATATCATTGACTAAACTCACAGTATAGAATTTTTTGTGGCTCACAGAAAAAATTCCTACATACTCACCTACACATATACTATCTTTCATCTTTTTTTCTTTTCTTTGTAAATAGCCAGAAATTAAATATTTAAGAACTTGCAAAAAATGCTTTCCAGGTTATAAGGTCTCCACTGTGACTAATTAACTTTGTTTGCTGTTACAGCATGAAAACAGCCATAGACAATACCTAAACAAAAGGTCATGCTGTATTCCAATAAAATTTTATTTATAAAAACAGGAGGCAGGCAAAATTTGGCCCAAGGGTCTTAGTTTGCTGACTCTGGATTTAAAGGATTTACTGTAATTTTTGTTTGAGGATTTGCAGAACATAAGTCAAATTTTACTGCTTATGTTTTTTTCTTTTCTGTGGTTTTTTTGTCTTTTTTAAACCAATGAAGAAGGACTCTTATTTTGTCAACTTCTGTGAGATTAACAATAGCAATGATATGTTTTTCCCATAATAAGAAATGATAAAAATAACATATTTAATATTGTGATAGTTCTATTATGCAAAGTAGGTAAAAGTTTCTGATAAAAGTCAAAATGTTTCATGTAAAATAAAAATATACAAGACAGCATAATCTCGTTAAAACAATTTGTAATCTCATTACAAACTGGCAGCTAGAGAAAAAGGATAAAATGATTTGAACCCCAGTATTACTAAACTCATACAATGAAGAGATACTTTACACAAATTTTACTTTGTGATTGTAATATTATGGTAAATGGTATGTTTACATAGGGGTCCTATAAATCCTAGTACTATTTCCTAGTAATTTCCTGAAATTTCATCTCAAGTCAAATTGCTAAATCTAAAAGGACACTATAACTGTGAAGATTATACTTCATTGCAGATTTCTCCAAGAGAATCATTTCACACTCTGGATTGGAGAAACACATATGCACTACATGTACTAACACATATTTTTAGGAAAAAAAAAAGATAACTGAACCACATTAGTCTTTCATTTCATTAGTACTGCAAATTAATCATCTACCTCATTTTACAAAAATGTATTTCTAATACATTTTGTAATTATTTCTTAGGGACAGTTTATAAAAATCATTCACAAGATTTACAGATTTAATAGGAACAGTATTATTTTTCTACCACCAAACTTGCTCTTTTTCCTAAACTGCATTAATGACAAGTGGTTCTCCTCATTAAATTTATTAACATTTGATTCATAATTTAAAATAATGAAACTGATTTCTTCAATGTCCATGGTCCCAGTAGATGAAAACCAAAAAAGGCAGAAAATTACATCACAGTTGGATTACCCCTATACTTGTATTGCTCTTATATTTAAAATTAGAATTAAACTCAAAAATACTATAAAGATCTTTATGTACCATATTATTCCTTCTTTATATAACACAAAATGGCTTTTCAAGATAAAAAATATTGTCATATCCAATTATTTAATAATATTTTGTTAAAAAATGCTAGGACTCTGGAAAACATACCTGGTGACATTAGTGCTTTGGCAAAGGAATAAAGACAGCATGCCTGATGATTTTCATAACCACTAAGTTATTAAAATTTTCAGTTTTAACAAGAAAACTTTCGTGTTTAGACATCATTTGAAAATGTAGTTCTACTTACTTCTAAATGAAGGAATACTTATAGAAAAAGAATCAATTGTATGAATGAGAAGGGCCACCACACTATAAATAAAACAAGCAAAGTAGTACTGTTAGTAAGATGTCTTAATGCAGGGAGTAATACCTTTAATAATTATACAAAAGATATCAGGATAGTATTTCACAAATAGCTTTGTATCATATAACTCCAAGAGAAATTCTATTTTCTTGATTTTTGAAAATCACCTAAATTTGAATATTTAGGAGAGATATCTATATTTTACTTAAAAAGGGTTTTAAATGACTAGCATTGAAAAAATTGATTTCTTTCAAATTATTATCCTGATTATATATTTGTGTGTGTATGTGTTGTGGTTTCAGTAGCAGGAATCCATCCATTTTACCCATTTTGTATGATCTGAGTGACTTCAAATTCTCAGCTGAAAATATTCATGCTAAATACTGTTAGTACTTCTACAGAATCATTTATCCATATAATTGATTTACCATTCAGACTGAAAGCAATCAAGAGTTCTGGTCATTCCCATTTTGATTAGGAAATTGCAGAGAAAGTCTTCTATTGCTTCAGGTACTGCGTGCTTTGAAGGAAGGACTGTTTTCTGCTCCTGAAATTCACATGTGCAATTATTTAATTTGGAAACATCAAAGCTTTAAATAATTGTACAGATAGGGTATTCATTCATTCATTCATTTTTTTTCAACTATTTTTGTTGAATGTTATGTTCCAGAGGCTATTTTAACTACTAGGGATAAAGCAGTGATGAAAACAGACAAGACTCGGTCTTCATATCTAATAATCAAGTAGACAGAGACAAAAATAACTAAATTAAAAATAGACTTAAGCAAGGGAGAGCCATGTATCTATGTGTGGAAAGGCAGGTGTATGTGTGGAATGGTCTGCTATGTGAGTGGCATGATGAAGGAAGATTTCATTGATCAAGCGGCATATGAGCATAAATCTAGAGAAAAGAAGAAGTCATGTTCCCAATACAGCACTTAGGAAGTATGACGGCCCTGAGACATGAGTGTTGGATTGTCTGAAGAACAAGGAGGTCAGCTTGCCCTTTCAATAGCATATAACACATTTAAAAAAATAAAAATAATATATTGACCTTTTAATTCTTTTAACTATTCTCATTATTTAAAAAATGATTTTGCTTCTTTGATATTTAGAAACACTATGAAACAAATTATATGCAATGGAGGAGGCTAGCACTACTATTTCATAATGGAAGTAAATAAGTCTATCAAGTAGATCAGGAGTGAACTGTTCTTACAAATCAAGTTTATTAGAACACATCCATGCCCATTTGTTTATATCCTGTCTATGGCTGCTTTTGTACTACATGAGACAGTGACAGTTGAGTAGGTACAACAGATCCTATAGCTCTCAAAATCTAAAATAATTACTATATGACCCATGGAGAAAAAAACTTTCACTCTCCTCAAGTAGAAAAATGGAGATATTTCAGCAATGAAATATGAAATTAGGAGAGGCATAAAAACTACCACATCATATAAGTCAGTATATAAAATCAGTCACATAATGGGTAGATTCTTAAAAATACCAACAGGATCAGTGCTTTCATAGTGCATTAATTTCTTCTCATTAGCAAGAACTCACTAATCTAACTGCAGATGGTTTGAATAGCCAGATCTATTTTTCACATACAGAAATTTAGCAGTGGACTTCTTTTCCTAACTTGGTAATGGTAACATACCAAGTTACATAGAATGCACATAATAGTTACATAGAAATTCAGTGAAGAAAGAGAATCTTTATTGCCCTTACAAGTTCTTTTCAAAAGTGCTATACATAATTCACTCCTGATGTTAACTGCTAGTAGCTGCTATGAAACTCAAAACAATGATGAGTTGAAGCAAATATTGGGGGGCTTCAGAAAATTCCTGACAAATAAATGGCTAGGGTTTTAAAATGAATTTTTGTAAAGCTCAATCAGAATAATTTGGAGGGTCTTTTGTAAGGTCGTTGTTGAGATACTATGTAACAATGTTGATTATGTGCAGGACACCATATCAAACATCATGGGAGATGCCAAAGAGGCAAAGAACAGCATGTCTGCCTTCAAGTCTTTGCAATGTGGTAAAAGATTTTATGTAAAATTGTTAGGTAAGAGCAACATATAGCTGGAAGCAAATATTCATTCTACAATAAATGTCACTTAGGCATTTTTAGTCAATAAATTTGGATATGATATTTAGGATGAGATGAACCAATAGTTGAGGGAATGAATCAGTTACACGGGAGGAAAAGGAGGACAGAAAGACTGTACCTGCTCTAGCTTCTAAAGATGTCTGTGGCCTACTGTCAGGTATGTTTGTTTGTATGATTGTAACACACCTGGTAGATTCCTACCCTCTCAAATCAATGTTTCCTACCTCTTCTTGAATATGTGTGATACGCACATTTTGAAACATCCAGAACAGAAATCCAACCACCTGAAACTGCAATGTTTCTTACTTACAGATCAAGATTTATAATCCTATAAATATGCTTATGTATCTAATCCACAACACTTCTGTAATATACACATTCCAAGCTTTAATGTGATTATAAATGTCCACGTAATAGTCACCCAATATATATTTGCTGAACATCTCCAATATGCCAGGCACCATGAAAGGTGCTAGGAATTAAATATTATTGAAGACACTGTCCCTATTTCAAGGAACTGAAAGACTAGTTGAGTAAAATACAAAACATCCCACACCATAATATTTGGTAAAATTAGTTCTAAGAAAAAAATCCTAATATACTAAGCATTTCCTGTAGGCTAAATATTTCTATGAAAAAAAGACACAGAATGCCTACAAAACAGATTGGAGAATCTGTTTATAATATCAAATTCTGTACATGAGTGTTGAAAACCTTTGGTGTAATCTCTACAGAAATTAAAAGACAGCATTCTAAAGGAAGATGTTATTTATTGCAGTCATGCAAGAGTGTCCATGATTTGGAAAATGACAATTCAAAGAAGAATAAATATGACTACTTAAAGCGAAGGTCTGAGGATAAGGAAAAGGAAGAGAAAAGGGTATAGCAGGTAATAGGGCTGCATGTGGAAAGTGAGATGAAGTACTTAAAGTTTAAATGATTTTCAAAACTTCACATAAAAACTATGGACTACAGTTATATTCAAAATTCTCACCAAAATTTGAGTATCTGTAGCCTGTTCTTGGGCAATCTGAATCAGTTTTGCCAGATCTTCTTCACCTTCTGGAATGCTAACATTGTCATCTGGTATCTAAATCACAGAAAAAGAGAAGGCTAAGAAGAGTGAGCAGGAATACAAAAATACCTTATTTAATTCAGCAATAATTTTTCCTAACAAAATAAAGGAATAAAGAAACATACTTTATGAAACACACTATCATTCTGAAGTTCTGTGAAAAATATATAGCTAATAAGCAGGAAAATTTCTGACTTCCTTGTAAACATCATTTAGTGTCACTTCTAACAAACTCGAGATTAGCTCATGGGCATCTGCTTTTATCTATAATGACAAATACAGTCTAATAACTCTGCTGAAAAAATGTTAGTCTCTTCATTCCATATTTTCTCCACCATTATTGTTTCATAACTACTAGTCATTACAAATCTCTAGTTTATTAAAACAAAACTCACTGCCTTAATATTAAGCTCTTAGAAGAAAGTAATCTACTCTAATTCTGATATTAAAGATAGTTAACATATTGTATGTTTCTTATGTGATTGCAGTTCTAAGCCCTTTACATTTATCAGCTCACTCAGTAATTTCATGTAATATATATTATCTCCATTTTACCATCAGTAATATCTATCTCCTATGTTTCTTCTGTCTTTTGCTTGCTCAGACCACAAAAGGCCAGGCTTACATTAACACAGTTTAATTCTCTGTTTCTGGTCATCTAGGAGTGACTCTATCCCCCAAGTCTCAGAAATAATTATAGGTCCCATGAGAACAATGAATTAAACACAAAGTTTGAGATAGGAACCACATTAGATAGTATAGCTAAGCTAAAAGGAAGTACAGGATCTGAGCTCTGAGCTCCACCTAGGTAGTGGGAATCTGGGAAACCCTGCCGAGAGAAACTAGATGACAAAGAATGCATCCTACACAGAGCTAGACAGAGACAAGAGACCTGTAGTACAGACCCACTAGGCAGATAATAAGGAGGTGACTATGAAGGACAATTAACAGGAGAAACAAAAGAGCAAGATGTATTAAGCAATCTAAATTTTTAAATAGAATTTTCATACTTCACTCTTAACCACCTGATATTAGCTAAATTCAGTTGAAAAACTGGCATCTCTTAAGGAAAAAACAAAAGAAAATTAAATTAGTATTTCACAAGAAAAACTGCAATGTATTTATAGAATACCTAAAATGAACAAATTACCTCTTTATATTCATAATCCTCTTCAGATCTTTCAGTTATGGTGACCTCTGAAATCTTGTCAAGTTTTAATCTTAAAATATGTGGACTAAAATAATTATGTTTATAGCTGATTTGACCTTAAAGTACAGTATTAGACCCTTATCTCTTCCCAAATTGATAAATGCATGTAATTAAAGCTCTTTTTAAAAATTTTCTCTATACCACCTATAAATGTTTTAAAACAAAATATTTTAATTCTCATTCTAAATTATCATTCTACAATACAACCCCAACCCATGAAAAATTACCTAAAGACTTCCAACATGATTTGAAGGCTTACAAAAATATACACAGTATCATAAGATAATATAAATTAGAAAGAGATAAGAAAAATGATGAACAGAAAAACTACAACAATAAATTTTTCAAATTTATATCAAATTCATAAGGCAGTGTGACTTTTTTATTTGGTTTAACAATATTATGAATGGAAAAAACAAAAGCATGCCAATATTTAAATATAAGCAAAAAATACCTTTCGATGTTTTGATTAATAAAAGTTACTTAAAACTCCACTTTTTTTCTTATATACCTCAGTTTTAAAATTATCTTCTCAGGAAAGGCAGCCTAATTTTTAAGCACATACAAACTATATAGTAATCATAATTCAGTAACTCATAAATTATAAAGAAATAATTAAAACATCAATGGAAATTATTCTAATTAAAAATTCTAACAGCACTGGTATTAAGACTTTTAAAAATTACAAGTTATTTTAATTAAAGATGAAAATTTCAAGATGACATTTAATTTTGAAAGAACAAGATATATCAGTAAAGCTATTTTGTTGGTTGCTGGACTTAAATTTTTTTCAAATGTACAGACTTGATTATGCCAAGTGTAAAAATTACAAAGTTAAACACTTTAATGCACAGTAATGGTTATGAAAATCAACGATGAGATTAGCCTACTTTACTTTTTGCTTCTGGTTACAAGAAATTTTTATTCTGTCTTCCAAGAGTTAGCTGAAAATGTATGTAACAATTTCTGCTGCTTGTAATAAGAACTGATAACACTTACATAGTATTTAATAGAAGCCAGGCACTTCCCTAAGACTTTTACAAGTATTATCTCACTGCATCCTCATCCTACCTACCAGGTTGGAATTATCATCATCTCTATTTTACAGATCAGGACTCACAGGGACAAGGTTACATAGCCAGGGCCTAACAGAACTGAGAAGCAGACCCAGAAGTTAAGGTTTCACAATGCTTATACTACCACTCTTGTAATTCCGTATGGGTTTTCTGTGCTATGTAAAAACCTGAAGTGTTTGCCAATTATCTTCCACACAGTTCAAAACCTCTCAAAGACAGGTAATACATTCTTCTTACTCAGCCCCATCATAAGCAATAACTCTTCAGTTTGCCTTATCTGCTTGAAGAGATTCTTAAGCCTAGTTCTTGTAACAAATCCCCAGGAACCAAATACCTGTCAAAAGGCCAGTACTTTTATTGGCCAACATGAATCTTACTCAACAATAAAATGAAAAGTAATTTAGGCTCAAAAAATAACAAATTAAAAGTAGGTTAAACTAGCACAAGATAAAAATATTTCATACCTAAAGTTGATCCCGTAACCTTGAACTCACCAATACTGAGTACCAGGAGTGAAGTACCTACCTATATTAATTACCTATTGCTGTGAAACAGTTTCCAATAGCATTTGCCTCACTCTCCCTTAATTGTTTGTCAGCAGCTTCCTTAAAGATTATTGGGCTTCCACTAATAGTCTGTTCAAGGTATTTCAGCTTTTACTAACATACTACTTAAAGTACTTCCAACATTTGCCCTATGTTCAGTTCCAAAGCCACACTGATACTTTCAAATATTTCTTATATTAGAATGCTACTTCTAGGAATGAAAATCTGTGTTTTTTATATATTCCTGAAGACCAAACTCCCCAAAACTGAGAGCTTAAAAGAACAACAAGCATGCATTATCTCACAGTTTCTGTGGCCAACAATTCAGTAGTGACTTAGCTGGAGGATTCTGAATTGGCGTCTCTCATGAGGTCCCAGTCAAGCTGGCAGCCAGGGTTGCAGTCATCTGAAGGATTAGCTGAGGCAACAAGATCCACTTTGAAGATGGCCCACTGACATTATTGGCTGGAAGTCTAGTTCCTCCCCATGTGGGTTCTCCAAAGACTTCTTAAGTATCCTCAAGACATGGGAGCTAACTACTTCCAGAATAAGCAATCCAAGAAAGTAAAGTGGAAGCCACAATATCTTTATAACTAAGCCTCAGTCACATGTCATCAGTTATCCAATACCCTATTGGTTGCATAGCTCAACCTCTTCAATATGTTAGGGGACTACACAAGAGCATGAATACCAGAGATGAGGATCACTGGGCATCATTTAGAAGGTTGGCTACCATACTACCTTCCAAGATTTTAAGGGTATTAAAAGAATTAACAGACATAAATCATCAAGAATGGTGCCCTGGTTAATGCTATACAAGTGTTTGTTACTATTTTCCTTGTTCTGAATATAGATGAGTACCTATGGAGAAGTTTCATAAGTCACCCATGGCCCAGTTCCACCATACATTAAGATGAATGGATAAATAAAAGACGTACTAAACCTTTTTCCTTCTCTATATTTATGTTTTTCTGACACATTTTCACTTGAGATAAAATTTCCTGAGATTCAGCTACAGGAAGCCAGCCTCTTTTTCTTGGAAAAGTATGGCCCCTCCTTCAAGACAGCTACTAGAAGTTGATTTTGTAAGAAGTGACTTGTCTTTAAGTCTCCAGAAAAGCAACACAATCCTTTATCATTGTTCATA